TCCTTGCAGGCATGCCTGCACTCTGGAAAGTTCAAAGAGCCTTCATTTCATGGGGCTAAATGAAACTCTTGGGTGCAGATAAGTTTTGGTAAGTTTTGTACTGGTAACTCACCAGTTTTGATTCTTCCTCCAAAAGCTGAACCACTATCTTGAGGACCAGTGAGCCAATAGTTGCTGGAGTATGTGTAGTTGTATACAGAGCTGAAAAAAATGTTGTAGAAACTTTGGAATAATAAAGAGTTTAAGTGAGACAAACGTGATTTACAGAGTTGATACTGAGGAGAAAAGTGAAGCAGCTAAGCTGTTTCTTAATGGATGATTTCTGCTGTTGGCTGGTGGAGGGCGGTCACTGTCTCCCTTCAGACATTTTCCCGGGTAGCTTGCTTTGGTCTGTTTTTTATCTTTCCAGAGAACCTAACTCTTTAACTGGGACAAGCAGAACCTCCTCCTGCCAAACTATCTGCTTTTGCTGGAGACAAGATGGAAGATGGTTGCTAGGTGGGCCTCAACTTTAAATAGTCCACAGCAAGGCCTCCACTAACAAGTTGTCTTCAGAGGCAGTAGCAAGGGATGTATGGTAGAAGCTCCAGGAATTTTAATCTGGATGTTTTGTAGGCCTACCTGGAGCTGAAGACCATCACCACTAAAATGGGCACTGCCTCAGGGACAGGAATATAGAGGAAGTGGCGTGCGGCAAGGCCTGAGAACAGGGAGCTGCAGAGTGAGCTGCGGGCTGTGCAGAGGGCCTGAGAGGAGGATCCATGTGCCTCTCTGCTCCTTTCCCAGCAGAGGGTGCTCGGAAGTCACCATGTGCCCATGCCCTCATCACCTTGGCCACCTTTGTCACAGCCCTTGAGAAGGAGCTGGTGTGACTCGGCTGTGCTGTGCTTGGCTAGCAGGAACAGGGCTTCCTGTGCCCAGGAGCTGCTTCCATGCGGAGGCTGGCTCACATGGGGCTGATTCTCCTTGTAGTCCAAAGGTGGCCTGAACTGATGCAATCTACAGGTGGAAGAAAGCGTATTTCTCCTCCTCCCTGGGGTGAGGGATCACAGGCTCGAGCTGCTTTCTCCCAACAGCTACTACCACCCCGACACCACTTCTGATTTTGCAGGGTTAGGTCAATTTCACTATATAAAACATTTAGCCCTTGATCCAGAGAGACAAATCCTGACCAGACCCAGCCTGTGCTGTGGTTTTCTGCCTTCCCGTCTTGCCATGGGACAGGGGAGTGCAGCCCCCCACCTGCTGCAGAGGCAGTCATGGTTTGCAGCAGGGAAAGAATTTTGGAAAGATTTGCCAGGGTCACCTCTGACCTAGCTCAAGAGATGTGGCTGAAGGAAGGGAGCACCTTAAGGCAGAAGGAGATATTGGGGCTCCTCTCTCTATGGGATCTACACACAAACTGGGATCCTTCTGCTCAGCATTCCCACCAGGCGAAGGGCCAAGCTGCTCAAAAGCAATGCGTAGAGCCCTGCCTTGTTCTTCCCTTCTCTGTGCATGAACTATATCTTCAATGGGGAATTTTACCAACGGCTGTACCTTGCAGTCCAGGTCTTGCAGGTAGCTTGCTGCATGTGGGAACCCTGGAGTCCCCATAGCCCCAAGGCCATATCAGCATCAGAGGATAGCCACAGAGAAGAGGGGGAGGAAGACTCCCCCAGCTCCGAGGCGGCTTTGCTTCCTGCTCACGAGCAGCAGCAGTTCTCCCCTTCTCTGCCCTACTGTCTGTATGTGCATTTCCCTGCTACCCAGGGTGGCTGCCCTCTCCTCCAGGGCTGCTTGGCTCGCTTGCCCCGGCCAAGGGAGGTGCACAAGGGAGTCTTGCACATCATTGGTCTGAGAAGGTCTCCATGCCCTTAAAGAGAAGGTGGATTTTCTGCTGAGCCACCCGAGAAGCCCTTTTATACCTCCTTACTCAGCCAGCTGCCTACGGCTCGCCAGTCAGTCCTGTCTGTCCACAGGGGCTTTCAGTCTTCCTCCTCAGGACTTGGGTGAGCTGCTCTGCATGTCTCTTACTGACCCAGCTTGCTGGTAGGGTTGAAATGGAAGCAGATTCATGTGTTTGGGGGAGATAAACGCTAAGAGGGATGGCCTGCTAGGGAAAACGGGTGCTAATAAGCCTGGCTCCACCCTTTGCCTGCTGAAGAGGGTCCGTGCATCAAAAAGTCTGTCTTTTCCAGTTGCTTTCTGTCTCTTTAGTTTCATGCCTTCCCCTCACTTGACTGTTTTTTCCCTCTGGCTTGAATGGAAGGGCAAGTAGAGCTGACCTCCCCAAGGGCATGGGAAATGGCACCCCATCCTCAGCTTGGGTAACTCAACAGTGCTCCTCTACTTACAGCCATTACCCCTGTTCCTCACCTGGCGAGGGCAGTACCTTCATCCCCAAAACTGTCCTCAGAGCTTGGAAGCCTGTAAAAGAGAGACAGATGCTCAAATTTAATGTAACCCACTGAACAGGGGATGTAGAGCCTGGATTGCAGGCAGATGGCTGTGAACTGGGCTTCTCGCTTCCTTTGTACTTGCAGCTTAGATGTCATTGAAGTGGGTGCATGTGCGTGTGTGCAGGAGGCATGAAAGCAAAAATAGCTTGCGTTCCTCCGAGGCCCTGTCCCTCAGCTACAGCTGAGCCACCTGTGGTGGCTTTTGCTTTGCTTTGCCCCAGCCTCCCTGAGTCATGGGGCCTGGCACTGGCAAAAGGCTGCTGTCTGAGGAGACAGCTGCAGCTCCTTGTGCAGCTCCCTGACCATTTTTAGAAGCACTTTCCTCCCCAGTAATGTGATGGGCCTGCACATTTTGTAGGATAAAGTTTCCTCAGGGAGCTTGTCCCTGCAATCTGTATGTCCTCCCGTCGACTCAGGGCCCATTAACACTTCACTTCCCAAGGTGGTCTCCCAGGTCTGTAGGGAGCTGAGTTTGGGGAGGTTGTCTGTCCTGCATGGGCAGGCACTTGGAGTCCTCCTGTTAGTAGGACAATACCGTTAGTAGGAAATACCATTCTGCTAGAAAGAAAACAAAATTGTGTTTATGGGACAACAATTTACAGCAAAATATAGGAGATGCAAAGGTGCTTTTCTCTCCAACACGCTGTGTTGGGCCTATCTAATTTCCACTTAAAGGAAATGCAAGAACTTGTCTGGGGTTGTGGCTTTATCAGCTCGACAAAAAATCCTTTCAAACCTCTTCTGGGTTGTTTGTGCTGTGGATGTTGCAAAAGGCGCTCTTGCACCATGCAACGTAGCCAATATGCTCTGGAGTCCTCACTACCTGCACTTGCTGTCTGACTCAACGCCCATAGTGTTGGAGCCTCTACAAGCCTCAGCACATCTCTTGCTCATGAAATGGGGCAGAGCTGTTTGCCCTGTATTGAAGGCAGGGAGGCTGAGGCCTGAAAGATCTGCTTTTTCTGTTGTTACGGAACTATATAGTGAGAACTATATGACAGAATCAAGTCCAAAAATAGCTGCTTTTCACCCTTTGTCCATCCCTGCATAAAGCGGTTTTCCTAGGGGTCACAGAAGAGATGTGTCTGCAAAAATTACTGTGGCAAATCTCTTGCTTTTTCTGCCCCAGACACTGTTTTGCCCAGTGCCACAGACGCTGAGGTTTGGGTGTGAGGAAAGAGGCATGTGTTTGGCTCCCATCCATAGACCACAGCCTGCCTCCCCATGTGATGAAAGTTTGGGGAAGTTGCGAAATAAGAACAAACCTATTCCTCTTTTTGACTAGGGAAATCTTGCTTTGTTTTTAAGATGAAGATCATCATCATCATCATGAGTAATTGTGAAAACCTTTTTCTTTGTTTTTTATTCCAGGTTCACAACCACTTAAAGCAAGATGGCTGAGTAAGTTCCCATTTTCTGTCTCTAATGTTTTATTGGCCTTTTAAAACTTTTAACTACCTTTTTTTTTCTTACTTTTCAAGATTCCTCCACTTGTTTCTCATTAAGTTACTAACTGCCTTTTTTCTCTCTCTCTCTTTTTTTTTCCTTCCTTCCTCGTCCATCTCATTCTTCTGAACAGTGACGAGGTAAGTGTGTTTTGTGTTGCTGGGCTTTTTCTTTTAGCAATGCTTGTGACACCAGCCTTGGCTTCATGGTTCCTCCTTAGAAAGAAAGCAGCTGCTCAGGAGGAAGAACAGCCCAGGCTGTTTTCTTGATGATTCCTTCCAGTAAAAGTGGGGAAAAACAGAAAACAACAACAACAAACTTTTAAAGATGTTCCTTTCTGCCAGTTTCTGGCTTGCAGTCAGGTGCTAAGGCTTTTTTTCCCTCTTTTTTTTTTTTTTTTTTCCCACGCTGGCCACGAGATGGTGCTGGGAACCCCTGCCTGGAGAGCAATGGCTGGTGGTCCTGAAACCTGTTCTTTGCTTGCACTGCTTCTCATTCCCCATATTTATTCCCTCACCTTCAACCTGCACAACATTGTCAAATAGCTTTTCACAGATGATCCGGTATGGTCAGCTTCTAGGGGAACATAAAGATGATGGAGATTGCATGCTTAGGTGTTCTCCCTGGTTTCCAGTAGAACAGGAGCAGGTCTGGGTTCAAAACCTTGAATAGTTACACTGGAGTTTCATTGAGTTTGCAAGTTCTGGGAGGGTTGTATGTGGCTTGTCACAGCAGAATTCACTGCCTCTTTCAACAAAGTTTGTTTGTTCTGTGTTTGTTCTTCTGGGGTTATATCTTTTCTGTGGTGTTGAAATCCCACCATTGGTGGCAGATAGTCATGTAATGCATGTCTTCAAACAGAGGTGGGTTTTGTGCAGACTGAGATGGCTCTGAATCAGCAGCAGACCCAAACTCCCTCCTAGCCAGTGCAAGAGACATAGCAACCAACACCAGCTGTTGGTTCTGCCAGCATCGCTCCACCTCCCCCCTTAGCAAGTTGCTCAGTCCTCCATCTTTGGCTGGCACTTCCCCAGATGTTGAAAACAACACAAGCTTGGGCTTGTCCTCACCTAGAGAGAAGAGCATTTCAGGAAAGCCCAGAATCTCCACAACATGGAGTTGAGGTCCAACAGGTACTTTTAATTCCCCACCAAACCCAGCACTCCAAAGAGGGATGGAAGAGCACTGCAGAGTCCTCCACCTCTTTGAGGCCTTAGCACCATCTGTATATGCAAAACAAGTCAGATTTTTTGCATTGCACTCTGTAGATCCTTATCCACTTCCTCCTGCATGTAGCAGAAACTCACACCCAAACACTGCTTTCTTCTCCCCCACAACTGCATATCAGATGTCAGAGTGCATTTCCCCTGCCCCAGCCACACTCAGACTTGCTCTGCCTTCTGGGCAAAGGGCTGAGGAAACAGCTGCAATGCAGTGACAGATCAAGGTTGCAGCGTCTTTTGCAACCAGGAGACCTGTTGCTGCTGTCCCAACACATCATGGGCACAAAAAGGCAGGCTCAGTCTCCACGCTCCCCAAAACATAAAGATTTATAGAGCTGGAGAGTGCAGTGTATCAATGCCAGATGAGAAATACATCTGGCATTGGTGGCTTTTGTCCTGCAGCCACAGCCTTGCTGCCCTCCAAATCTTCTAGTTTAACTGGCCAGAACAGGCCCTGTGCTAGGTCTTTTCAGCCCCACATATTCATGTATTCATGTGTTGGGCTGTTCCCACATGGGTGTGCCATCAATCTCTCAGAAAGAAATCGCACAACTTCCTGTTATCCAGGAGTGTTGGAGCCTGTTGACTTGCATGGAGAGCAAAACCCTCTTCTGAGCAAAGAGGATATTGTAAAAGATTCTAAAAAGGTTTAAAAAAATCCAAAGAAGCCAGGCTTAGATCTCTGTTTTATATGCATCTTTATTTGCACTATTTTTACCTGAGGTCTAGTTTGTGGAGTTTAGATGCCTGAGATTAGCAAAGCCAGATTCAGCAAAGCCTCTTTTCAGAGTCCAGCCAGTCTGGGGACCAACTGTGTGTCAAGGTATGCTCACTGGCTGCAGCCAGCTCCTTGGCAGGAATGGATAGTGAGGTTATATAGCAGAGTCTAAACGGATAGTGGGGTTATACACAGAGGGGAAAAGAAGCAGAAATGGACACATGATAACCTGCCTTTCTCTCTTTCCTCCTCCTCCCACTTGCAGAAAAAGAGTAGGGCAGCCACTGCCCGTCGGCAGCACCTGAAGGTAGGTGGCATGGCCGGGTCTGGCTGAGGTATGTTGTGCTTACATCCCCTTGCTTGGGGATGCCAGTGTCGCGGAGGCAGGGAGCTCCCCGTCGGCAGAGCTGTCTCTCTGGCTGGGGTCTGCCACAGCTCCCTTGCTCTGCCCTTGCCTCCCACCTCACTGACCTCCTCTTGCTGCTTTCCAGAGTGCTATGCTCCAGCTTGCTGTCAGTGAAATAGAAAAGGAAACAGCTGCTAAGGAGGTGGAAAAGCAGAACTACCTGGCAGAGCACTGTCCTCCTCTGTCATTGCCAGGATCTATGCAGGAGCTTCAGGTAATGATTTATTTAATCCTTTCACTGTGATGGACCAGAAAGGATTTGGCTCCACCAGTCAGCATAGTGGAGCTATGTCTTCCTTCCTATCTTGGCCCTTCTCTGGATGCCTCCCTCCACGGTGGAGGCAGAGACAAGGGAGATGCAGGGGTACTAGCACCCCCAAAGACATTCTGGGGGATATCTGGCAGTGCAGGCCCAGAAAGGCAGATTACAACTTCTGTGGGGTATTTTATGTGCAGTGCTAAGGCCACAGCCTTCTTTCTGCAGTCACCTGATGACATGCCCATGCCTGGGTGGATATCATGGAGCTGGCTTGAGTGCTAGCCTGGGGTGTCCCTGCAAGAGAAGGGGCTAGCTGGCCGGAAAGTCGCGTCTCTGATGGCATGTTGAGGCAAAAGTCCTATGGAGTTGGTGGAACAGTGAGCAGTAACTAGCTTGCAAGCCACCCTTCACTGTCTTAGGTCAGTCGGTCTTGGCTGATGAACTGATCCTTCCCCAGTCTTCTGAGTGGGGATCTTTCAGAGCAGAGGAGGAGGCACAGGTCAGGGGAGAGGAATCACATGTGTGAGTTCTTGTACTCAGCTTTCCTCTCTGTTCTTCATCCAAGGACCTGTGCAAAAAGCTTCATGCCAAGATAGACTCAGTGGATGAAGAGAGGTATGACACAGAGGTGAAGTTACAGAAGACTACCAAGGAGGTGGGTTTCCTGTGGAGTGATCCCTCAGCCACTTCAGAGGAGTCTCCATGCTTATGGAGCTCATGCTTAGCTCCTCCTCACACCAATTGTTGGCACCTAGTCCATCTCCTGAAGCTGATGCCCCCCTCTCTCTCTACCTTCATTTCCTCCCCACAGCTGGAAGACTTGAACCAGAAGCTGTTCGACCTCAGGGGCAAGTTCAAGCGGCCGCCTCTGCGCAGGGTGCGCATGTCTGCTGACGCTATGCTGCGGGCTCTGCTGGGCTCCAAGCACAAGGTCAACATGGACCTCCGCGCCAACCTGAAGCAAGTCAAGAAGGAGGACACTGAGAAGGTATCCCTCCCATACACCAGGCCCATGGTCCTGGGGACCCCAAGTAGCAGATAGGCCTGAGGGTGACCCCAGTGTTTTCTCCTGCATCTCCCACAGTATTGAAAAAGTGGAGGGTAGCCCCCAAAGTATGCGGCGGTGTGGAACTGGGCTCCTTGAGCTTATGAGAAGGGAGAAGTTCTCTGGTGTTTGCAGTGAGATTTCCATGGCTGGATGCATGAAGGACATTGTCCAGCCAGCAGCAGTGGCACAATGTTGCAGGATGAGCCACACCAGCTCTGCTGTGGCTCACATGCATGGGGGTGAGCAGAGCTCGAAAGCTCAGGCTTGGGGCACGGGAGGCTCTGAGCTGGGGCTCTGCTCCCCCAGGATTTGGAGTTTTATCTCCGAACGCACTTTGGCAGGGAGGAAAGCTCTACAAACTGTCCAAAAAGTACTTTAAGGGTAGAAAATCACTTCCATATTTAATGCTGCCCCAAGGAAGTCACTTTTAAATCACAGGGAAGTCCTCACATTCATGGGCTCCGCTAGCTACTGGGATGGTGGGGTGGTAGGCTGAAGGGCAGTGCGCGTGAGGCCATGGGGCATTGCCAGCTGCTCTGCCATGCATGCCTCTGACCTGCAGGAGAAGGACCTTCGCGACGTGGGTGACTGGCGGAAGAACATCGAGGAGAAGTCTGGCATGGAGGGCAGGAAGAAGATGTTTGAGGCGGGCGAGTCCTAAGCACCCCCTGTCAAAGGCAGTCGCTCAGCACCCGTGGCTCCCGCCTTTCCCCTGTCTCTCTCCCATTTTCGAAGAGCTGTGGGGGGAACGTGATGGTGTAAATAAAATTTGGTAGTGGACTAGGGCCCCTGTCGGCCCAGCTGTGTCTTTTTGGTGTAAGGACCTCTCTGAGCTTCAGGGCCTCAACACTGTGGGGGTTCGTCCAATCTGCAGGTTGCTCGCTGGGGGTGAACAAAAATGGCAGGGCGTGGAGGAACCATTTGCCATGGGAAGGAAATGGGTGAGGCTGGGCATGCACAGCATCAGCAGCCATAACTCCTGCTGCTTCCTCTTCTGCCTTGGCCGGGCTGGGCCCGGCTGCTCCCAGTGGTGGCTGGAGGCCATTGTTGTGGTCCTCATGGCAGCTCCTCAGTCATGCTCCTTTGGCCCTGCCATCTCCAGGTGGTACCTGAGTTGCTCTCCTGCCCTTTGGGCCTTACGCAGCTCATACTGGGGTGCAAGGAACCTGGGGTGGGAGCTGGGGGGTAGACCCCATTCTGTGGCTGCCCCAGCCATGCTATTGACAGGTAAGGTGTGACACCAGGACAATGTCCACACCTTGACCAGCTTGTCACCCAGGAGCACCAGCACCCCGCAGTGTGCAGTTGCCTGCGCTGTGAGCGCAAAGGCAGGCTGCCGTGCTCACTGCCACAGGGTGATACTTCCTGATTTCAAAGTTGACGGCAGAGGCAAAACCTTAAAATAATCCAAAAAATGAAGCTGTCTCCCATCCCCCCAAGCCCGTGAGGTTTCCGGTGTAGCTCACTTCTGCTGAGCACAGGAAGGCTTGAGGCAGCAGCGTGAGCCATCACTCGTCCCCAGCAGAGCTGCCTGCCAGGGCTGCCAGCAAGGAGAGAAGATGTCAGACTCAGAAGAGTGCCAGGCGGGTGCGGAAGGCATGGATCAAGTAGTGGATGAGTCCCCCCTGGAGAGTGAGAGGTGAGGCCTGGGTATGGGGCAGCCTCCTCCATTTGATGGACCTCCCCAAGTCGGGACAGACTTAGTCTTGCTAAATTTCTTATCTCTTCTGACCTCCAAAGCCCTTGGGGATAGGGCTGGGAGGAAGACCTGGGCTTCACCATCCAAGGTCAGCCAAGGGGTCTAGCTACAAGGCTTGGACTTGCTGTTGTGCACCATAGTTAAAATCAGACCCCTCTTTAAGATAAGAGGGTGGAGATTAGCTGCCACTTCTCGAAGCAATCCCGGTGACATCCCACCTGAGCTTTTGGGGGACACGGGCTTTCCAGAGCACTCTCCCTCCCCCCGCAAAAAATGTGATTGCACTTATCTCCCGCTGATACCTCTGGGCTGGGCAGAAGCTGTAGAGCAGCCACCAAGGAGGCTAAGAAGGCATTTGGAAATGTGGTAAGCCCTCCTGGAATAGATGTTCTCTCTGCTGTGGGTGATCTTGGAGAAAAGAGTATTGGAGATACTTAAATCCCTTTAGCTTTCAGGGCATATGAGCAAATCTGCCGTTTTTACCTCTCCTGGATGTTTGTGAAACTGGAGGCTAAAGCCTCAACAGTGTGGCGGCGGGATGTGGTGGGGAGGTGATGCTCTTTCAGAGATCTGAACTCTTCCTGTGTCTATTCTGGAAAATTTTCAGGCTACCTACTCCCATTTTGAGGTTTATACATCTCTCTGCCTGATCTGCCTTGTTGCTTTATTCACAGTGACTATAAACTTGGTCTGTCAGCTCCAAAGCAGACAGTATTCCATAGGGGTTAAAAGAAAAGAGACCAGCAGCAGAGACCAAATTGCAGCTGTCTGTGTGTCAGCTGGTCGAGGAAGACAGAGAGAAGCTCAGTCGAGGTATCACACTGACGTACTTAGATTTGGATTCTGCTGGATTCAGACTGCACGTTTGGGGAGCCTGGGGGTTTGCCTGACTTTTGCCTCTAGCTTCAAAGCTTGCATTAGCATTTTTCCCCCAGGCTGCTGAAAGCTGATGCAGTTCATGTTCTCAGAAAAAAAGAAAACCTTGAGTGACAACGAGAGGAGCAAGGTGTGTCATCTCCTGTCACTAATGGGTGTTGTAAGTGTTTTGCCTGACACCTGACAGCAATTAGCTGGGGCTGAGGACTCGACTGGAGGCTTCAAAAGGTGGTGGAGGGCCTGTGCGTGACTGTCTTTTCTCAGAGGGGGAAGCTTTTGCTGATGAGGGTATGCACTGATTTCTCTGTGTATTGTGCGGGGTCTCCCAGTGCCTCTGCAATGTAAGGTCCTTGCAGGTGGCTTAGGGTATAAGACTGACCTCAAATGGGCTTCTTCCATGGGAGCTGATGCTGCTGTGGCTCAGGGTGCTGGAGCTTTCCTGTTTCTGTCTTGCTGTGGTGTGTACAGGTACACCTGCTCCAGTGGGGTCTCCTTGTCTGGTGAGGCAAGGTCAGGTTTTTTCCCCTTTGCATTTCTGGCAAACAGAAGAGGTTACCTGGCAGGATCTATAGCAGTTCAACTCTAGAAACTTGTTAAAATGTGGGTGTATATATAAGTATTGATTGATGGGTGTATATATAAGTATTGGTGGTACATCCCTTCTTTTCTTTCCCTTAGCTGAATCATTAAAATTTTAATGAAATCTAAGAGTTAATGAAGAAAAAAAAAAAAGTAGGGAGGAGGAAGAAAGCATTTTCTTTTTTGTTTACAGAATATGGAGAAGTACTTTCTCTCCCAACCTGTGTAACAATTTCTAAATATCTGTTTTAGTTTGTTTTCTGTCAGGATCTTGTCACTTCCACTGCTGAAATGGAGGAAGCAGCTGTTTGCTCCCTGTTTAGGGCTACCTCATCTCACCAAGTGGCCAGGGTGAGGAGCTCGCCTCTTTGACCTTCCCTCTGCTTGAACAGAAAGCTGTTTTCAAGCCGCTCTGGGTGCAGAGGGAGCCAAGGCAGTGCTCCCCAGGCAGTTTAAGCGCTGTTGGAGGTGTAAGCAATGAAGTCTATGAAGGAACTCCCTGGAAAGCAAATCATGAGGCTCACCAGTACCAGTGTAGATGTGCAGTGAGGATGTATAGTGGGCGAGCGAAAAGGAGTTGGGCTTGCTTAAGCGTTGAACCATTTCTATGCAATGCTGCCCAGCATACATGACAATTAGCTAATACCTGCATAACTATACTGCTGCAATCCTAATTACTTTGTCTGCAGCTTGCTCTTTTTTTTTTCCCCCATACAAACTGGGGGGGGGGGGGGGGCAAAAACTCATGCTGATGCAGCAACACCGCGAGCAGCATTTGGGCTGGAGTGGGGAGGCAGGCCTCACATGGTAACGCGGAGGGGCTGGAGGGGCAGGGCAGGCCTGCTTTATGCTATGGCTAGATAACCGAATGCACCACTGCTATTCAACTCACTGGCATAAAGCAGTGGGATCTTCAGGTAGGCCCTGACCACAGTTACTGGATGTGTGGATGTGCTTGTGCTTGTGCTTGTGCTTGTGTTGCTGGTGAATGTGCTGTGCTCTGCAGGGTATTCCCAGCTGAGGGGGATCTCTCTCTGCAGCAGGAGGGTTTCCCTGCTGCTGCTAGGGGCTGAGAACAGCCTTCTACAAATACACTCAGCTTCCTGAGGCCCCTTCCTGCTGGGGCTTCCCATGCCCAGAGCCACGGGGAGCCCTTGGCAGCCCTTGTATGGTCACTGCCTGGGGAAAGGCTTTGCTGTGCTAGCAAGCCCCTGTCCTGTCCTCGCCATATCTGTCCCCAGCTGTCTTGAATTCTCCACATCCTTACAGAACACTTGGAGGATCCTTACTAAGATGACTGTTGTTGCTAAGTATATCTATGGCTGGAAGGAGGTTGTCTAGGGAAAAGTGATATGTAGCAAGTTTTTGGACTCCTCGGGGCATGGCATTCCTTAGGGGAGGGATGGTTGATCCCCGTTCAGATCCCTGCACAGCTAAAGACTAACCTAGCTGAGTGAATCAAAGAGGGGAAAAATGGTGAAGTGAGCAAGGGAAGATCAACAGGTTTCACAAGGATAATTTAGTAAAGCTTGGCAACACTTCAGTACTTTCAAATTGAATATAAGTGTGTTGGGAGTGGCCTTGAGTGGAGGGTAAGGAACTGCCTTCCTCTCATTACTGGGGCATGTCAGGTGTCTGCACTGTCCCTTTTCCCTTGGAGAGAAAAAGAACGACCAAGAAAAATGCCCTCTCTTTCTCTCTCTCTCTAGCCTAAAGGCCTAGGTTACTTTGCATCTGAACTTGTTTTGCAATGAAAAGCTGCAGGTTAGGAGGGGAGTGCGTGTTAAAGGAAGCAGGGGATTGCCTGGTGGTTTGAATTCTACTTCTCTCTTTAACCATGGGCGAACGTGTGAGCGCTGAGCGTAGTCACAAAAAGAGGATGTGCTCTTGATGGGCTGTCTCAAAACTGCTGGGTGGAAGCCTGGCTGCACTGTGGCGTCCTCTCCCCTTGGGTTTGGGGAAGACCTTGCTGTGGGACTACGTGTGCAGGCAGGGTTGGGCACCCCAGGCCTGGGCTGGGTGTTGTGAGGAGGCTCTTGGCAGCCTGGCACTGCCTGGGTGAGGATGGGCCGTAATCCCACGGGGCTGCAGGCATCCCAACCCCTGGGCCCACAGGGTCGCGGGCTCCGAATCCCACGAGGGGGCGAGCTCTGCTCGGCCATAGCCACAGGCCAGGGCCCTGAGGCCAGCAGCGGTGAGGAAAACGGGGGTGGCCAGGCAGGGTTAGGGGAGAGCTGCTGTCCCCTGTCTGGTGCAACGTGGTCTCCTGGCCTTGGGGCGGGTGGGGACAAGTAGGGGCTGTTCTCAGCTATGCCACAGGAGTTAACTGAATGCAGGTCTCTGCCCTCGCTGTGGCTGAAACAGGGTTAGTGCTGCTCCATGGGCGAGCCTGAGTGCATCTCAGGTGGGATTATCACAGCTGCCCATGGTGTCTGCACAGGCCCTGTTCTGCAATGAAGTGGTTAATGGGGGTGTGCACCTCCCCCAGCAAGGCCTGGGGACCCTGGGCCTCTGTTCTGAGCCTGATAACTAATGCCTTGCTGCAGCTCTGCCTCCATCCATACTTGTGCCCATCATCGTGCTGATCTTCTACCTCATTCACCACTTACATTGTCAGTGGAGTTGGCTCCTCTCTGGAGCTTGGTTGGCCCCACTCACTCTCTCCTGCACTGCTCTCCCAGGGCTTCGGCCCTTTCCCAGGGAAGCAGTCATCCAGATGACTGCCACTCCTGGGAGAGTGCAGCAGCCAGTGCCCCTTCTCGCTGGCTCGCATCTGGAGCATGCTGCTGGGCAAGCAGCCTCCCGGAGCAGGTCTTGGCACTGGGCTTCTTTCCAGAACGGAGAATGTCCTTGAGCTGCTCCCCACATCTGGGCAGATGGGAGAAGATGGGTCCTACCATGGTGGTTTTTTTTTTTTTTTTTTTTTTTTTTTTTTAGGCAGGGAGGCAGGTGGGCACTGGAGCCCAAAGCAAAGAGGCATCCAGAGTCCACGGTGATTTGGTCTGGACTGTTTGGCTCCTATGGGCATTCTGACTCCTCCACTGAGAGTGCAAATCTGCTGTCATCAGCAGGGGTTGTCGGGTAATGTCATGTCTTACAGGTGTCTTGAATATCCCAAGGAATCTAAAAATGGAACTTGGTATCTATGGGGAAGCACCTAGGTTGCTCCCTGCACTCATAATACTGCTAGCAAGCACGAGGCACTGCTGAGATTTGCCTCGGGCTGTCCTGAGGCTTGGCTGGGTATCTTGGTCTCTCTGTTGTGCCGGCACTCTGCAGAGGCTCAGCCATGAACGGGTTAAGCAGCACCGCTGGAATCCGGGTGTGTTTTCCTTGCCAGAGGATCCCTCCTAACACACACCAGATGTGTGAGGCAGCCATCGGAGTGTCTTAATCCCAGGTTTCGGCACTCTGGGTTGCCTTTCTCATGGGCAGGTCTGCAACAGGCTTTTTGGGGCTTCACTGTTGCTTGTGCAGTGCACAGGCAGGGTGGTTGGCAGTCTCATCCTCTGCAAGAAAAACTGCAGCAAGCCAGGGCTCTTAGCCCTGTTCTGTTATTTGTTACCTTAAGTTAATAATTCCTGGGATGCTGGGGTTAGAAACATGGTTAGGTGCTCAGTGCTGAGTCATATGGGGATGAGCAGCTTTGTCAGAGATGGGGCAGAGCCAGGTAACTCCATCTCTGGAGGAATGGAGGAGCAGCTCTGGTTCATGGCAGCTGAAATACCCTCCCAGCATGTCTGATAACAAATCAGGGACTCTATGGGTAAAGAGGAAAAAAATAAAAAAATAAACAAACATATCACTGGAGTTCCTTGATGAAATTCAAGTTGGTGGGCTTCTGTTATCAGCCTGATTGATCCTCTTGCACCACAGGATCTGCAGACTTGGAGCCACCTGGGAGTAACTTTTTGCTTAGCAATGTGCAACACAATTTCCTTGGAGTTTTCCTGCTGTTGTACCAAAGTGCAAAGCAAACTTTTTTAGCTGGTGCAAATCAGCATCATCCCACTGGCTTCAGTAAAGCTGTTGGTTTACATAAGCTGGAGTTTCTGGCTTACATGCTCACTTTACAAATGTGTCCTTTGCTAGGGATTGTTTTAGCATTACTAAGAAGCCCCTCTTCCAACTTTAAGTATTTTTCTGCTGTTAAATGGACAGTATGTGCAACTCCTTTTATCAAGCCCATGCCAGACAGTATGGAAAATATGATCTCTTCTTTTGTGCGTGTGTATGCATGTGCTTTGCTGCTGCAAATGTAATTTCCTTTCCAGTGAAAGATTGTTCCAGAGCTGTTACCATTGACAAACTGTGAACTATTGACAGATCCCAAACCATCACAACTGCCAGCCATTTGG